TCAGCACCGATTAGTCTGGCGAATCGTGACTCTGAAGTGGTTGGGTAAGTGGGTCCCATCTTTGCCAGGTAGACACCCTCACGCAAGATATCCTCAATGTGCATTTCCTTGCCCACCCTCTTGGCCAGTTCACGCAACTCCTTTGTGTAGAGGTTGGTCATATCTGGAAATCGCGTTCCAAATCTAATCAAATACAATGTCACATTCTAGAGGGAATGAACCACCCTACCTGTCATCATTGGGTCCAACCAGAGGATTCAATCCTGTCATTCCGAGCATGTTGATGTGGTCCTTGATGATCATCAAGTCACCTGCATTGTAATTGGGATTCAAGCCACCTGCTGCATTGGTGACAATGAGGGTTTCCACACCGAGCAGTTTCATCACTCTCACGGGAAGAATGACCTGAAGGAATCAAAGCATCATTAATTGATCCTCACCTGACTCATTGTGTAGCCCTCGTAGGGATGGCATCGACCCTGCATGACAACGACACTTTTGCCAGCGAGTTTACCGAATACGAGATTGCCAGCATGTCCCGCGACGGTGCTGATGGGGAACTGGTTGATCTCGGAGTACTTGACGATGACCGGTTCGGAGACAATTTCGGCCAGCTTGCCCAGTCCAGAACCACAGATGATGCCAATTTGTGGTGTCAGTGACACCTTCGACTTGATGTAATCTGCAGCAGCTTTGGCATCTTCGTAGGAGCCCATTGCAACGCGGATCCGAAGGTTGAATTATGGTCTGCCTCGATGACCAACGAGTGTATTTATGTAGGCCCTCTCTGCACACCATTCTTTAGTGGCCAACGTCAAGCCTTGATCTGACAGAATGCATTGTATATACCTTTAAAGATAAATAAGTCATAAATGTAAATACCGAAGACTGATGACGTGTGCTTTGATGTGCCAACGCTTTGCACACGTTATAAGGCTTGGATGACGTCCTTCCGACTGGACGGAATAATGCTTGTGCTACGTCGAGTCTGTTTCGTATCTTTGCATCAAAATGCCATCCACCTAATTGTCCACATTCTGTAATGTAACATTCTTCAAATAATCGACCTTGATTATCGCAACTTTTTAAGTTCTATGTCAGCAAATAATTTATTTATGCCTCACGTATTGTTCCATCATTCCTGCTATAAGCGATTTAGCCATCTATTTCACCTCTTCCAATCATTCTGCCTATTTAAATACCTGATCGGATGTCAGGTGATAGGCCTATCTCTTCAGCATCCACCAGGATCAATTTCGTCATTTCATGAATTCATGTATCGCTATTCATCCATATGTCTATCCGTCGTGGATTTATTCTTCCATTCACTCGTCTAACCATCCATACATCTCAGTCCCACTCGTCCGATCTCAGATTCAACCACTTACCTCGTCTGGCCCATCAGTTCATTCCAGAAACATTTTTGACATTTTTTAAATCTAAACCCCAAATCAAATAACTCACTCAACGGTTTCAGGTTGTTCCATCCACTGGCGGAGGCGCGACTGCTGCAAATGCTGGGCGCCGACGTAGCAGGCATGAGCACCACAGCGGAGACCATTGTGGCACACCACGCGGGAATGCGTGTGCTTGCTCCCTCCCTTGTTGCCAGCCGCGAGTCCTTTGAACTTGGCCACGAGCAGAAGGCGAGTCACGAGGAAGTGCTTGAGATAGGCCTATAGCGTGGTGAGACGATGGCAACGCTGCTCACTCGTGTTCCAGCGGCTCTGTGACCTCAACATGCATCGACGTCACGATGTTTAACTAGTTCTATTTATTTTAAAATTAAAATTTTGACCGCTCCTAGTGATAGACTGATGCATTTACATAGGTTCACTTTGTACAGTACTATCAAACCCCGAACTGGTCGAAAAAATTTTATTTACTCTGGTGACAAATAAATTTTAGGTAAAAATCACCGTAACGTGTTGTGTGTTTTGGTACATCAATATCGTGCACATTTTTGAAAATCTGACTGATCACCAACTGAGGAAGTTTTGTGTCCTCCATCAAGTTGCCATCCACCCACATCCCCCCAATTCATCCTGCAAAGTTTATCTTAGCGTTGACCTTGACCGCGGTAATTTCTACTTAGTCATGTGTCGATACATTTAAATACTCCCCCTTGTACTACTTCATCATTTCAACCATGAGCTATCTATCCATCTTTTTCCCTTCCATCCCTGTTTGACTGCCAATTAGTTAACCTACCCCTGTGCCATTCACCTAGCCCACATACAACAACCTCTTTGCTTCTGGATCCGAAGCCACGGGGTGGAGTAAATGTTTTAAAATGCCTTCTTAATACCCTTTAAGACCAGAGAGCGCGCCTACCACACCCTCTGTTTGCCAAGGGCGGAGGCTCTCACCGACGCATTTCCGGTTGACGTGTGGTTCAATGCGCCGGCACCTCCAACTGTATCGGCATTAACTAGTGCGTATAAATATTTATCCATTTCCAAGTGGCCCTCAGTAGTGGGGCGGTGAAATGGCATTTAAGGGGCCACAAACATTTACAACACTTGCGTTTACTTTCAGCTGGATTGAGTTCTTGTTGCCGACTTCAATCAGCAAATTAAAGCGGCAAAAACTATTCGCATCTCCCATTTGGAAGAGACCCCGTCTGCTGCGCAATAAAGTTGGAATTCATGATAGCTACCCTCTAATACCTATTGTGAATAAGTGAAATAGTATGCTAGACCATCGTCCCAAAAAATAACCTAAACAGCACTTCCACACAGATGCTTACAAGACCTGCTGAAAGGTCCTGCTACAAGTCAGCGTGGAAGGTCGAATACCAACGTGCGAAGTGATTGAAGGGCAAGAGGCAAGATATTAAATACGGTGACTGAGCCCCGGGAGAATGAAGAGTCCGCACAGTCGTACGTGTCATGAGAACAGCAATGACAACGGAGGGCTGCATTCACGGTGCCTCGTGAATTTCCCGAATCATCTTCCAATATTCAATCCAAGGTGGGCAAAATCCCGACCCAGCAGCTGCTGTACTAAAAAAGGAATGGTTCTCAAACAGCGTAAAAATTCATTGAAAAGCTAGGAAAAACCACTTAGATGGTCGGTAATCACACCCTGACTACTGAAGTTAAACTCTTCCACTCCGGAAGGAATTAGCAGTGGCCATCTCCAAGTGGCATGAGACTGGCAGGTAGGTGGGGTTAAGATGGTAGCTAAGTAAAAAGGTGAGGCAAATGCTCAAGCAATGCTTGCTTTCGCTCAATTTTTGAGGTGTATGACACAATATCCTTTAAGGAAATGGATTAAATTGGGGCGTAATGGGAGAATTTTGCGGGGATTGGCGCAATATACAGCTTGGAAGTCTTCTCGTTGCGTTCTTCGTTATGAATCGCCATCAGTTACAATTCACCTAGATTCTACGGTGATGGTCGAAAAGAGGGCCCGTTACCGGAGGCTATATAGAAGAAGGGAATCTGTTGTCAGTCGTTGGATTTGACTGCTATCAACTACCCCAATCTCCGATCTCTTAAAACACCCACCAGTAGAGCAAGACCAGGCATTAAGTAGCACAAATTGTCCATAACAGAAGCATTTACCGACTTGTTCTCATGATTTGAAAACGCAAAATTACATTCACATTGTAAAAAGCTGGAAATAATGTCGGTATGGTGGGCGGGGGGGGGGGGAAGGGGAAGGACAACCGTCGTAGGCTCTAACCATTACGTCATGGTGTACACAATGATTTGGCTTTGAAGCGAACCACTTTAGGAAAGGCAATTGACACGTGGAACGACATTTTGCCTTACGTAGTGCTTCATCAAACAGCCACTAATGCCAATCACAGAGAAGAAGCATCACAGGCGTCGCGGTGATGAGAAACCACAGAGGAATTGATAACAAAAGCAATTAAAACCAGGAGGCCACATACCGGATCAGCATTAGTTGTAGTCGTACACGTAACCACGCAGGCCTCTCCTGACTCCTCCAATTTGGCCTTCATTCTGGTGACGGGGAGTCCTGCCAGTCTTTTAGCCCTTTACGTCGTCCCTCCGGATTTGCGTGCCTTACAGCATCCATAGGAATAACTTAGAGACCGCATAAATACTCCACAAAAGCAGTGATTAGTAAAAAGGTTATATTGTATTTTAAAATCCGTATTTTACACCTTAAAACAGTTAAAGCGATTAATGACAAAATTTTCTCGTAAAAAATGCCTTCAACGTGGATCGTCATCACAAAATGCTCCCCCTGTTGGGGTTTTTGGCCCAACCTTCGAGGTGTCGGTGTAAAGGTTACCTTGGTGATCCCAACACCTGTTGAGGAGAAAAGAATGGGTAAAATTTAAACCGCGGAAACTGATGTCAATAACAGTACCGAAATTCCAAAAAGAAAAGAAAATGCATTTGTATTTCATTAACCTTATCACTATCATCACTTAAGAATTTCCGAGGAACCATCTTGTTTTCGAAAACCACCATCTTAAAATAGAAGAGAATGCATAAATTTATATCGTTTTTACCTATAATTTGTTTGTTAGGTGGAGTAGCATTTCCTGCTCACCTCATCTTGGCTCGACTTGGGATCAGTCACAGCACTTTCCGGAGGTAACACATTACCTTCAACAACTTCCACGCTTGACAGAGTCGTAGGTGACGTAGACGATCGCTAAAACGCATCAGAAAAGTGTTGCATGTTATCAAAAGCCTTTAAGAGGGCAAACTACTGATTCGCCATGAGTAGATTATTCTCCTCCGGCAGGACTTGTTCACACTGTGCCAGCTTTACCCCACATCGACTTAGCTGTTCCTGCAAGTGGCGTCCTACCGAAGATTCATCTGTCGAGGATGCTTGGCCATTTACAACACCCAATCCCGCAGTCGATTCTGATAATGCAAACATGCCGGTAGAAGCACAACAGCTACAAGGTATCAAGGGCTGCTTGCCCCAGTTTGGCAACATAGCTCCCAAATTGGGTTCTTCCCGCCTTACCTGAATTCCTTAGCTGTACTTTCCTAATAACTACAAATCTGAACGCCTTTACTTGGGTATGGTGAGACAAAAGGCTTCCCTAATTCGGAAAAAAACAAAGAATTTTGTCATTGCCATTAAATGCTGATATTTAAATGGAAAATCCACTTGAGGAATTAAAAAGGACGCTTAAAACTGTTTATTAAACAACAAGTTATACTCAGTTCCATGCAATCAGTCTCCCCTATGACTCAGACCAACCCGATTTGCAGTGACATTGGAAAATAAAGCCTTCCTCTTCTTTCAACACCATCAGAAAATTCTAAAATTCCCTCCCTTAAAGCCCCTTCACCCGGTACATCACAACTACAAAGTAGGCGTTCCATGATTTCCACTTTCAGATGTGCGAGGGACGATGCTACTTTCGCATCACAATGCGTTTTCAACGATATTTCCACTTTTACCGAGGTTTTTGAGAGCTAACGCCAAGAAATTATCGACATTCGAACCATACCTAAAATTTCTTTCAGTTAAACAAATTAAAATCCTCTAACTTTCTACGATGCCTTGACCTCGAGAAAAGAATAACAAAATCACTGTTTTTAAAATGCTTCGCTTACACTCCATCCCAAAGACGGGTAATGGTTTGTGCCACAACATCTCTTCTCATCGAAAAAGCAAACTATAACCAAGCTAAAAATAATTTTTTTTTGAAATATGGGAACAAAAGCTGTTGATATAAACTCATCGGGAAAATTTCTGGCAACTTGATTGATGAATGCAATCAGTCAGTATACAGGGACCGACACCTTGTAACAATTTGAACCCACCTCCTCCGGACGATCCGTAGCTTTGATTTTACGCCATAGACGGCGCGAGAGGCGGTGCACGCGACAGATCAGACGATGTCGAACCGGATGTAAGGACCTTTCCAGCAGGAGATGTTGCACGTTTGCTGGCTGACGTCGATGTCGTTCCATGTCAACGAGTTGCGATTGTACTGATGTCCTAACTTCTGAAATGGCGAGAAAGAAGGCATTACTATTGTGTAGTCTGGCTCTGAACGTCGTCTTGTGGCTAAGATCCAGGAAAAGATTGGTATCTCGAAACTTGGCGCCAGTCCAGAGCAGTAGGCGCGGAACGGATAGGCAAACAGCTGAGTTAAAGCGTACATTGAAGTCAAATCAGGTCTTCTAAATGTATGGAAAGAATAAAGAACAAAAGTTGAGGATCCATGTCCATAAAATCCTCTGGCATATTTGTACGTAAACTTGTTTCAGTGCTTAGCCATCACCCAAGAAAGTCTCGGCATAGAAAGCTTTGCCAGTAGGTCAGAAATTTCATGAGGCTGAATGCCCCACTTCGGCATCGATGATGAAACGCTGACCTCGGTGCCAACTTTTCAAAAAATTGTAAATCGCCGTGCATAACTGTGCTTGCCGCTACTACTAAAGTCTAGTCTCTTGCGCAAC